GCTCAATCCTCTCTTCTTTAGCTCATCTGTTAACTGAGGTACTGTCATTAACTTAGGTGTGCAATCCACAAGTTGTTGCTCGTGAAATTTATTATAGTGTTTATTCAGTTCTTGATCATCTGGAAATCTTTCAGGACAGTATTTGCATATAAAAGGCTTAAAAATGTCTACAACTGTGTGGTGGCAGACGGGAATTAAWATGAGAMGTATACGTGCATGGGAGTGGGTGGTGCTCGGTTAGGTAAAATGTTCTCACATAGTTAGCCCTCATTACTTGTCCCCACTTACCACTAATATCATATTTATTTGTTAGTTCTAGATCTTGTTTTATTGCTTCATGTTTGGACTCTTTTGCTTGTAATGAAATTATACCATATCCACATTTGTATGTTTTGAACAACAAGGGGCTGCGTGATATGGTATAGCATATCCAACAGTCCAATCGTTTAACTTTGAGGGAAAAAATAAGGAATTAAGGTTAAATTGCATAAATCATTTAGCATTTTAATTTCTGTGGAATTAGTATCTAACTTGTTGAAAAGACTGCCAGCATCTCTAAGATACTCACCAATTTTGCTCAAAGCTTCCCTTAGCATACACTCAGCTTTGGACTCATCAGGCAGATACAAGGAATCAATGATACGATATGAATATTGTAATGAATGATCMAACTGCTGTTGATTCCCTTTAGTCTTGCAAACGAAAGTTTCTCTTTTGGCCTTCATGACTGCCTTTTCAAGGTTGCTAGAGTTTTCCTCGGCGAATTTTGTGGCRAACGCTTTGAACTTCTCGTCAATAACCTTGCAAACATTACTCATTGAAAACTGCATTGCGTCTTCTATAGCGGATTTAATCATAGCGCTAGCTTCGTAAGAGGGTTGGAATCCATGTGTTGCTTGTTCTCCTTCGTCGGACTGGGAATCAGGCATTTCGATGTTCTCGTAGTATCTTCTTGCTCAAAAACTTGAGTAAGTAGGTGTCGTCGCTAGTGTTCGACCCGAAGGAAGAACCAATACGCATTTACTCTTATTTATACTGCACATACAATTGCTTCATTACAGTAATCAGTAATGCGGAACAATGTTCACGTTAAATAAAMAATTCCTTGCGTRACGTGCAGAAAACAAATATCAGCTAAACTGCGTACCGCAGATATTTTTCTATTCCCTAAATTTGTAGGCAAATTTAAAAAATCACTAAACCTATGAATAAAGTTATAAAACTGGAACCAACTAATTATAAATGATTCTAAAAAYTATTTGAGATACAAATGTTATAGTGCTTCATATAATGCTTATGGGTTGTTCAATGTTCTACCAGTCTTCAGCTGCAATGAGCAGCACAAGCTTGTGGATTGGTCTGTCATAAGTCTTCTTCAGGCCATCTTTCACAGTGGTGACTTGAACCTTTCGCACTAGCTGGTCTTCGCTTGGATAGGTCTTTGATACCAGTGCTAAAGGTCAGCGGTTTCTTGGTTGGTCTTTGTCACTCATCAGAACGACGTCCCCTTCCTTCACGTTACGTTTGGTGTTCGTCCACCTTTGACGTTTCTGTAATAGGGCGCAATATTCCTTTTGCCATCTTAACCAGAATTGGTTGAGATAGCGGCCTACTGTTGACGATATTTTCAGCTTCGGTCATCAGTGTACGGAGTCATCTAATTGTGTACTGTGGTCACACAGGAAAGATTGGGGACAGAACGCGTGGTACGTATCTGGCGTTCCCATATACCGCCCATGTGGGACGCATGGGGTACATTCATCTTGAAGTGGATGAGATCACAATCTTGGGAGGAGAGGTACTGTTTGATTGATTCTTCTTGAAGCTCTTGGAAGGCTGAGGAAAACTCGTTTTTACTGCCAGCGAAATTAGTCCCTTGATCTGATCTAATTTCGTAAACCTTTCCTCGTCTTGCAATGAAGCGCCTTAGAGCGTTAATGAAAGATTCGGTGTTCATTGCATTTAGGGTTTCTAGATGGATGGCTCTGGAGTTCATACACRTGAAGATTAGATCCCATAACTTTAACTACTTCCGTCCTTCTTTAATAATAAATGGACCGAATACATCCATGCCAGTGTATGTAAAAGGAGGAGATGGCGTTACTCGTTCAATTGGTAGATCTGCTATCTTCTGATCTTGAAACTTGCCACGAGCCTTGCGGCAAGAGACGCACCTTGAAATAACATGGGAGACAACAGAGCGACCACCAATAATATGGTATCAAGCTTGTCTTATTGCATTGTGTGTGATACCATAGCCTTGGTGGTGCTGCTTCCCGTGGTGATAGTGGCATACAAGAAGTTTTGTGGTATGGTCGTCTTTAGGAATCACAACAGAATGCTTTACTCCAAATGGAGAGGTAGAATTCTTCATACGTCCTCCGACCCTGACTATGCTATTTGCGTCGAGAAATGGATCTAGTTTGTAGAGGTTGGTTGTRGTTTTCATGGTAGCGTACCTCTTTCGCGCCTTTTTGCGATCTTGGAATTTGTCGTCGTTACCCTCTAGTGATCTCAATGTGCTGATTRTGCGACGAAAGTGGTGTTGCTGCACAGATTTTAGGATCTGTGCCTCTGCTTTCTGTAGCTCTTGAACTTGGGGTGCACCTTCCTTCGGACGCCAATTGTACTGCTTATCTGAACGCCGTCTTTCTATCATCCTTTGTATTCGTACGATAGTGTTGATAAGCCGTTTAAAGGAG